AACAAAATACTGAATTACAGTTTACAGGGTGGCACAAAAGTTAGGACACATAGGGTTATTGTATTATCTTAACAAATAGCATAGGGGTTATTTATTCATAATCACCGTTTTTGGGTTAGATCGCGTTATTTATAAATGTGTCGTAACCCTCCACCACCCGACAAATTGAATTGCCCGATGATGCTGGATGCAATTACCAGCGAAACGTCGTACTCAAAAATTGTAAATGTTGTGGTTTCACGCTTCAACACACCGGTGGGCTAAAGCAGTGAACTATTTTGTCTTTTGTCAACGTGACACTTTTTTGCTGATTGGCCGTGTCGGGTGGTGGAGGGTTACGACACATTTATAAATAACGCGATCTAAACCCAAAAACGTTGATTATGAATAATATTGGTCGCGAAAGCCTACGTGTTAAGCATAGGGGTTATTTAATTAATTTAAACAAATGCTCAAACTGATTTCCGGTATTAACATTCATGCACGACTTCTCTTTTGAAATGAATGAAAAACTTTTTTTTTAATTACAGCTGCCTTATTTAGCGCACATAATAAACGAATTGCAGTCGTTCGTCTTTCGTCAATTTTCTCACAATTTTTAAGTGCCATCTGGAAAGAAGGAATATTTTTTTTATATTAATAACAATAGATGCAGTATTAACTTAAGAAATCAACAATTTCAATGTTTCAATGCCATGTTACAATAACCATGCGTGTCCTCACTTTGGGGCCACCCTGCATGTCAAAAGTTTGCCGACACTTTGCATTCTGGGTACCCGTGATGCTGCGGGGTATCTGACTAAATCTTGATTTGAAGTTTTCGTGACTGCAGGAATCCACGCTCTTTGCTTCTTTCGGTAAAGTCACGTAGGTAGAAAATAAAATAAATCACGACGTTTCGGGCGCAACACAAGCGTCCGTCACCAGGTGAGAAAGCGTATGCTTGTGTTGCGCCCGAAACGTCGTGATTTATTTTATTTGATACCGATGGTGGAATCTCGACGTTTGGATCGGTGCCTGCCTGTCGGCGAAAACAACGACTTGCCACAAAGTGGTACTCGATTTACGTGCCATGGAGGAGGGATGATGGGCAGAGTTGGCCTCGGTCAGTCTTGAGCTCTGCCCATTGCACCAGTGGGGCCACGAGACTGCATTACACAACGCATATCTGAAACCTAGTTGCTGTACTGCAAAGTCACGTAGACACTTAACGAATCATATTCTTGGCTCTTTCGGTAAAGTCACGTAGAAAGGAAATAATAAAATAATAAAACATAATAAAATAAAATTCTCACGACCTTTCGGCCACAACACTAGTAGCCGTGAGAAGTTATGTTTATTATTTTATTATTTCCCTTCTACGCGACTTTACCGAAACAACCAAGAATATGAATATCTGCAGTCACGAAAGCTTTAAATCGAAACTTAACGAATCGCATATCAACCTACGTTCTATATTTTGTACGCATTGTTATTTTTGCATGGTTTATATATGAAGTGCATATGCAGTGTATGTTGTGTGTATGTAGACGCATATTGTATTAACAAATTACGGTGTAAATGTTAAGTTCTTGCAGTGGTACAGAACTGTTTAGGGTGTCTCGCTGCTGCTGCATGAAGGCCTCTCCGTGCCGGTCTTGGGGGTTGTGTGTCCATACTTGACTGCTACCAGCGGTGTCAAGATCGGCCTCAGTGGAGGAGGCTCGTGAAGGACGCTACTGGGCAGTTGGAGGCAGTTGCCCTCCAACAACAACCGAGGGCGGAGGAGCGACGCTCACAACAACGAGCGGAGCGCCGGGTGGATAAAGCACAGCAAGTTGGTACGGTAGAGGGCACACGTGGTGCATCAGCCAGTCATCTCGGACATCTCAGTCAGTCGACCCGTGGCACCTGCTGGGTCTGCCCCGTGACCTCCTGCCAGCGGGCGTTCGACACTTCACGTGGCCTCAAGGTGCACATGGCCTGGCACAAGCGTCGTGGGGACGTCACCGCCACTTAGTGGCGAATGGCGGTTGTTGTTGTTGTTGTGTCCATACTTCTCCTCGCTGGTCACCGCGGGTTGGCGGAGGAGCACAGCACAGGACTGGTTCAGATATGGACTTCTTTCGCACCGTACGTAACCAACCGTGCTAACCCGAGATGCGAGATATAACTCGTCACTGATGTTAGCCGTGGGCGGGAATCCAACCAGGTTTTGCTGGGTCGATAAGGCGGTACACAAAACCACTGCGCCACCACTCCACCAAAATACATGTGTATAAATAAAATGTAAAAAAAAAAATTGCGAAAACATTGTCAGCAAGTTTGAGATGATTAATATTTTCTCCTTTTGTGTTTACGCCTTTCATTTCTCCAGTGCAACGTTGGAGACATTTTTTATAAAAGTTTTTTTTATTTAGAAACGGCCGCGTTTGTCTTCCCATGGGCGATGTTTACACACTGCACCAGGTACTCATTTGAGGCTGGATCGACCTAGGGGAGGCCCAGAACCGGTTCAATTATTTTCCGCAGTCTGAAAAAAACAACACACACACGTAACCTACAATACAATATAAAACATAATCCCCTTCAAAATGTTCTTGCTCTTACAAACACACCGCTTACCCAGACAGACAAAGATAAAGATCCCCCGTATAGCCTTAACAGACTGTAGGGGCAAGTGCTGTTAGCGAGCACCTATGAAGGCCGGAACGGTACACGAGGGGGTGGGTGGTCAGCACCACGCCCGGCCGTCTTTGTCTCCCCAGTGGCGATGTTTACACACCGCACCAGGTACTCATTTGAGGCTGAGTCGACCTAGGGGAGGCCCAGGACCGGTTCAGATAATCGTCACTGGTGTTGGCCGTGAGCGGGAATCCGAACCCGGGTCGCCAGGTTCATAGCGCAGCGCAGCGCTAACCGCTACACTCGGCGTTTTACACGATGCGTGTACGAATCGAGACGGTCCACAACCTTCAGGGGAGTGGGCAGACGGTTAAAGTCCACATCCAACAACAGCGCGCTGAATGCCGTGTCGCAAATCGTGTGGATGGGTTCAATAAGCGCGCAACTTGGAGGAGTGTCACCCAGTACACGCACGAGCCACTGTCACGGATGAAGTCTGGAAGAGCTGCACGGAGTTCAAAATAAGAACTCGCATCGACGCAGCGCCTTGTGAAAGGGCCAACGCAGAAGATCCCTGTGGGTTTGATCAGCGTCGGATTATTCCGGTAGCACAAGTAGCTACACACGATGCTACGGGCGGGCAACGCACTTTGAAGGGCCCCGCGCTAAATGCTTTCAAGCTATCAATTCCGTTTAAATTTCGATTTAAAGCCTTCGTGACTGCAGGGATTCATCTTCTTGGTTCTTTCGGTAAAGTCACGTAGAATGGAAATAATAAAATAATAAAAATAAAACATAATAAAATAATATAAATTCCGGTTCAGTGATTCTGCACTTGCTCTATTACTATAGTACTACACCGCCTTCAACTTTTACGAACGACCGGGTGTTTAAGGTTAGCGATTTGTCGTATAATCTGGCTGTATAGCAAATGAAAAATCACAATTACTTTACTATGCAATTTAAACATCTACGTGTTTTAATATTTACGTGTTTTTATTTATTTAGGGCTCCTTGATAACATCATACTACAGGCCCCGCACTAGCTTAGCCCGGCACTGGGTTTGACCTTCCACGATGCTCAAAGGGTCCACCCTATGACCCTAAATCGCGTCCGCTTGCACAAAGCATGGGCAGCTGATGCGGACACGTGATGCACGCATGGAACAACAACAACAACAAACAAACAACAAATACCCAGTCTGCCACTGCGGTCGTCCGGAACAGAACGGACAACGTAAGAAAACCAAGCCATGTTTTATATATTGACAACATATGAGTACCAACACACGACGAACGCTGTTCCACGTATAACCTTTATAATTGCATGAGCGCGCTTGTTATTTTAAACCCCGGGAAGTTCCCGTTGACATGATGTAATTTATATGTGTGTGTGTGTAAAACTAAAAAAGCAGCCTTCCGTCAAGCCGGGCATGTTAGAGCTTGTTTCTGAGTCGCCGTGGATCTGAAGCTGCCAGATACGCACGCGTTCAAAGACGTTGCACCCCCCCCCCCCCTTACCGCAACAGAATCGAGCGAAGCGATTCATTTATTGTAACAGCTTGGACTGGGTGGGGGGGGAGACGATGGGAGAGAATTCCACATTCGAACTAAAAACAATGAAAAAAAACGAAACCGTTTAAAAATTTGTACCAGGTAAGGCCCCACTGAACTATGTAGTTATTTTTCAGAAGCGACCTGGCCACAAATGATAGCTCAACAAAGTGGCTCGTCGTCGTGCAGACATCGCAGTCAATATTTGAAATGCGTGATGGTGATTCTAAATGTGGAGGGAAAAACCGGAGGACACGGAGAAAAAATCCACGCGACCACAGAGAGAGAGACACGCAAACTCCAAATATACAGCAGGTGCCAGGGTCGGGATCGAACCCAGGAATTCCTGCACACCAGGCGAGGTAGTGAACATCTCACCACGGGGAGAGAGAGAGGCGAGGTCGTTAACATCTCACCACGGGGAGAGAGAGAAGCGAGGTAGTGAACATCTCACCACGGCAGCGTCACATTCAGTGGAGCAATGCGAGCGAAGATGCAGACAGAGAAGTGAAGTGACTCGTTGCACGGTGAGTGTGGTGAGTGAGTGGGTGAGTGTGGTGAGTGTGGTGAGTGAGTGAGCGGGTGAGTGTGGTGAGTGAGCAGGTGAATGTGGTGAGTGAGTGTGGTGAGTGGGTGAGTGGGTGAGTGAGTGGGTGAGTGTGGTGAGTGTGGGTGAGTATGGTGAGTGAGTGGGTGAGTGTGGTGAGTGTGGTGAGTGAGTGTGGTGAGTGGGTGAGTGGGTGAGTGGTGGTGGTGAGTGGTGGTGATGTCACACATGTTGTGTTCTCTGTAGACACAGAGGGTGGTGGTGAGTGGTGGTGGTGAGTGGTGGTGGTGTCACACGTGTTGTGTTCTCTGTAGACACAGAGGGTGGTGGTGGTGAGTGGTGGTGGTGAGGAGGTAGGGTGGTGGTGAGTGGTGGTGGTGAGGTAGGCGTTGGGGTGAACGTGGCGATGCGTAGGCGGGAGTGACCTTTTGTTGCAACCGACAACGACGGCCACTCTCTCACCAGACAGGGAAAGCCCCCTGCTCTATAAATACCGCGCCCCACACACACATACACACTCTCACTTAAACATACACACATACACACACTCTCACACATACACACACTCTCACACTCTCACACTTACACACACTCTCACTTAAACATACACACACTCTCACTTACACATACACACACTCTCACACATACACTCTCACTTACACACACTCTCACTCACACATACACACACTCTCACACTTACACACATACACACACTCTCACTTACACACATACACACACTCTCACTTACACTTACACACATACACACACACTCACACACACTCTCACACACACATACACACACTCTCACTTAAACATACACACATACACACACAAAGGCCAGAACGGTACACGAGGGGGTTGGGTGGCCAGCACCACGCCCGACCGCCTTTGTCTCCCCAGTGGCGATGTTTACACACCGCACCAGGTACTCATTTAAGGCTGAGTCGACCTAGGGGAGGCCCAAGACCGGTTCAGATAATCGTTACTGGTGTTAGCCGTGAGCGGGAATCGAACTCGGGTCGCCAGGTTCATAGCGCAGCGCGCTAACCACTACACCACCGCTCCCCACAACACACACACACACACTCTCACTTACACACATACACACACACTCACACACACTCTCACTTACACATATACACACACTCTCACTTACACACACACACTCATACTCATACTCTCACTTACACACACTCTCACACACACATACACACACTCTCACATACACACACACTCTCACTGAAACATACAAAGATCCCCCGTATAGCCTGAACAGACTGTAGGGGCAAGTGCTGTTAGCGAGCACCTATGAAGGCCGGAACGGTACACGAGGGGGTGGGTGGCCAGCACCACGCCCGACCGCCTTTGTCTCCCTAGTGGCGATGTTTACACACCGCACCAGGTACTCATTTAAGGCTGAGTCGACCTAGGGGAGGCCCAGGACCGGTTCAGATAATCGTCACTGGTGTTAGCCGTGAGCGGGAATCGAACCCGGGTCGCCAGGTTCATAGCGCAGCGCGCTAACAGCTACACTACCGCTCCCCACCACTGAAACATACACACACTCTCACACATACACAACAACAACAACCGCCATTCGCCACTAAGTGGCGGTGACGTCACCACGACGCTTGTGCCAGGCCAAGTGCACCTTGAGGCCACGTGAAGTGTCGAACGCCCGCTGACAGGAGGTCACGGGGCAGACCCAGGTGCCACTGGTCGACTGACCGAGATGACCGAGATGACTGGCTGATGCACCACCTGTGCCCTCTACTGTACCAACTCGCTGTGCTTTAGCCACCCGGCGCTCCGCTCGTTGTTGTGAGCGTCGCTCCTCCGCCCTCCGTTGTTGTTGGAGGGCAACTGCCTCCAACTGCCCAGTAGCGTCCTTCACGAGCCTCCTCCACAGAGGCCGATCTTGACACCGCTGGTACCAGTCATCGGCAAGTCCACTCAGCTCCACGTCCTCCTGTACCACATCACTCCATCTCTTCTCTAGCCCGTGCCGCGCCCGTTTAGCCCCCTCGATCCGGCCGAACAAAAGCTGTTTAGGCATGCGGTGGCTGGGCATGCGGGCTACATGACCCAGCCAACGCAGGCCTTGCCTGCCGGAGAAGCTCACCGATTGGACTGTGACCAGATCTTTCGGAATCTGAGCTTCTCACACAATCCAGCCAGATTAACCCCGGGATGTAACGTAGGTAGGCCCTCCTGAATGTCTGTAACCGGCGCTGATGTTCCATTAGAGGGGTCCACGTTACGCAAGCATAGATAAGTGAAGGGCATATATGACTGTGGCCGAGAAGACCCGGAGCTTTGTTTGGAGCGACAGGCCAGCTAGCTTCAACATAGCAGCGTTTCGTAGCCGGTAAAACAAAAATGCCGCTCGACTGATTCGGAGCGAGACATCCGCTGCCAAACCGGAGATGATGTCAGGGGAACTCCTTTCACTCCACAACTGCCCCATCACTCCTCGAAAGTTGAGCGAGTGTGGAATGTTTTGATGACACAAAGTACCCAGGTAGGTGCTTTGTTTCGGTGGAACTGATGATTTGACCCGACCCCTACGTGGCAAACTCCATGGAAGTCTCCATCTAGCAGTGGCTGATGAATGTTGGGGGGGGTCCCAGAATCAACCGCTACGGTTTTGGATGGACACACATTTAAAAAATATATAATTTAATTCGTCATTTGACATTCTAAACATGTCAACAAATATACGCTCTATCTTCAATACAAATGTATATTATCCGTGCGTTAGGTGAACTATTACAATCGCAGGATCGTGAGAGATGGTGGCAGCTCTGACGTGCCCTTGGTCCAGCAGTGTATTGAGCAAGGCTAACTTGCAACTGGTGATACACGCATCAGACAATCTGCTTTTACACATTCGGCAGTGGCACACGCCCGGAGGAGAATTTTCAATAACACGCTTAATTAACGCCAAGGCTACACAAGAGCACGCACACATATATAACACTGGTCAACGGAAAAAAAACCATTTTTTTCTGGCCTGGACTTTTGCAGCTGTTTTAGACTAATTTCAGGGTGCTGATTCCAAATCTGATCACAGATTTTCTCTATCACATCTCATTTTTATGCTATCGGCATACTCCATTTTCATTGAATTAACCCGAAATTAACTCTGTCACTTATGATTGCAAGTTGTTGCGAGTCAGTGACTGCTTTAGCGTTAAAATATAGTGCTGTATTTTTAGGATAGTGTGTTTATAATATCATTTATGTAGATATCCACATTTATTTATTTTCTTCTACAGTTTTCATTGAAAATGCAATATTTTATATCTCAAAAACCTGACGTAATAGACAAAAACTGATGCCAGATTTGGAATCAGCACCCCAAAATTACCTTAAAACCGTTGGAATACCTTATGCCAGAAAAAGTGTGTTGACCAGTGTAATGTACACATTTTTAAATCCTTTATATTAAGTTCACTTGCTTGCTTGCTTACGACCGTGCAAATCTTTCGGTCGTTTTTTAACCCACTCCCGTGATCCAATCGAGCTGACATTTTGCGTGACAATGTATTTTCGTGAAAAATTGTTTCCAAAATTTTACACTTTTTAAGAAAAAATAAATAATATTTAATTACCAATTGCTTAATGGTGGCAGCCATTCATCTGACCCATAGGTGGCAGCCATCTCAAGCCAGATGACGAGAGGACTCTAGCCGCCACGCATATAAAGGATTTATAGTGAAAAACTTTGTTTTTACGGGTTAATTTTTATATATGTGATGAATGTGATGTGAAGAGGTGGGAATCCCCGACTGTGCTCGCCATGATGATGGTGGTCGTGGGGCGGTGCGTGGGTGGGTGGGCTGAGCGATTTGGTTCGCGCTGAGACTGCGTGGCTGTGACCACGGCCACTAATCTCGGACTGCTGCGACGAGGGCAACTTGCTGGTACTGATCAGAAGCAGCAGCAGCAACAGCAGCAGCCGCTGATTGTGTCACATTGAGGGTATTTTGCCCCTGACATTTAGGAATCGCCCTTTTCGTTTCTGGCTAACCCCAAACCTCCAACGCCAACCCTACGCTTACCGCACCAAAACAAAGATCCCCCCCCCACACACCCACACACACACCCGTTCTAGCCCGAATAACACTGTTTGGGGCAAATGCTGTTATTGAGTATCGCCTATGAAGGCATGGCTGGTGCAGGTGGTTAGCGCACGGGACTTGCAACCCAGAAGGCCGTTGGTTCGATCTCCCACCGCGGCAGTTGAAACAATGGTCCAGATTTCTGAAATAAAACTGTTTGGGGGCATAGCCTGTGAAGGCCGGCACGGCACACGAGGGGATTGGGTGGCCAGCACCGCGCCCGGCCGCCTTTGTCTCCCCAGTGGCGATGTTTGTTACGAATCGAACCGGGTACTCGTGCGAGACCGAGCGGACGTAGGGGAGGCCCAAATAATCGTCACCTGGTCTCGTTCGGAATATTTTAGGAGAGAAAAAAAACCACAACACTTTTAAAGGGCTTGCACATCCCGTGTTGTTGGTTTGCCTGTATGGTTTATCTGTCAGGGTCACACTGGTTCCGGACAGAGTTGGGACTGGACGGGCGCGGAGAAGTATGGCTCAAACGAACACCACGACGACATGGCAGGGGGGCCTTCATCCAGCAGTGGATTGGCAAAGAGTGGCCGTACTGTACGTAAACACAATTTTCGTAAATATTCTTACATTGAATATGCCGAATTCAATGAAAGACCAAATAATAATAATTTGATGCGTTAACAAAAACCGCGTAGACATTGTTGATGTAATTGAATGGGCCTCTATGTAAGCCCATGTATGGGTGTCTGTGTGAGTTTATGGGTCTTTGCGTAAATCTGCGAGTTTATATGTAAATATGTAAGTGCTTTGAAGAAGGGACATTGCCCGAAACGTCACCTGTGAAATAATTTTCCTTCCAAGGCCAGTGTCATTGACAATTGCGTTGCGTTATATGTAAATCTACATTGATTGGACTGAATCCATCAACTCACTACACTTGATAACCTGGTTTGATCACAGCTTAGTCTGTTATTCTAATTGATCTCTGTGGAAGTCTATGGGTCTCTGTGTAAGTCTGAGGGTCTTTTGTGTGCCAGTGGGTCTCTGTGTAAGTCTGTGGGTCTCTTCGTGAGTCAGTGGGTCTTTGTGAGTCTGTGGGTCTCTGTGTAAGTCTGTAGGTCTCCGTGTGAGTCAGTGGGTCTCCGTGTGAGTCAGTGGGTCTCCGTGTGAGTCAGTGGGTCTCCGCCTAAGTCTATGGGTCTCTGCGTAAGTCTGTGGGTCTCTGTAAGACTGTGGGTCTCTGTGTAAGTCTGTGGGTCTCTGTGTGAGTCTATGGGTTTCTGTGTAAGTCTGTGGGTCTCTGTGTAAGTCTGTGGGTCTCTGTGTAAGTCTATGGGTATCTGCATAAGTCTGTGGGTCTCTGCGTGAGTCTGTGGGTCTTTGCGTGAGTCTGTGGGTCTCTGCATGAGTCAGTGGGTCTTTGCGTGAGTCTGTGGGTCTCTGTGTGAGTCAGTGGGTCTCCGTGTGAGTCAGTGGGTCTCCGTGTGAGTCTTTGGGTTTCTAAGTCTGTGGGTCTCTGCGTAAGTCTTTGGGTCTCTGCGTAAGTCTGTGGGTCTCTGTGTCTCTGCGTAAGTCTGTGGGTCTCTGCGTCTCTGTGTCTCTGCGTAAGTCTCTGCGTCTCTGTGTCTTTGCGTAAGTCCATGTTAACTGGGCAGAGACCCTCAATTAGCCACAATCGAGAACCCGGTTTCTCCACGGTCGGGTCGCCCACCCACCACACCATCGCCCCGCATGTGACAACCGCACCACGGCAGGAGACATCACCGCACCACGGCAGGAGACATCACCGCACCACGGCAGGAGACATCACCGCACCACGGCAGGAGACATCACCGCACCACGGCAGGAGACATCACCGCACCACGGCAGGAGACATCACCGCACCACGGCAGGAGACATCCCGCACCGGAGACATCACCGCACCACGGCAGGAGACATCACCGCACCACGGCAGGAGACATCACCGCACCACGGCAGGAGACATCACCGCACCACGGCAGGAGACATCACCGCACCACGGAAGGAGACATCACCGCACCACGGCAAAAGACATCACCGCACCACGGCAGGAGACATCACCGCACCACGGCAGGAGACATCACCGCAGCCCAAAGACCACAGATTGGCGTCGTCAACCTGTGCCACCAGAGCCGCAGGATGACGACCCCCTGGTCAATGCCAACGGGGTCGACGCAATTTTCAGAATCATAATCAGAATCTTCATTTTTTTCTGCAGAAATCTCCGTTGGGCTATGAAGCTCTTTCTTTCAGATTTGTCCAGTCAGGGGGCGGATCGGAAAGTTACAACTTCTGAGGTTTTTTTTTTGGGTTAGGTCGCTTAAATATAAAAGTGTCGTTAAACACGCCAGCACCCGACACGGCCAATTAGTAAGGTTTGTCACGTAAACAGAACGTGCCAATTTGTTACGGGTACAGCACACCGCTTGTGTGTTGGAGAGTAAACCCACAACGTTTACAATTCGAGTACAGTGTTTCTCCAGTAATTACAACTAGCATCATCAGGCGACTGCCAGATTTGTTGAAACATCCTCCTGCTTCGTTCTCAAATAGAGGGATAGATGTGATGTCGTCACTTGTGAGCCGATCAGGTATGAAGGCTGGTGGCGGTTTAACGGCACTTTTCTAAATATGCGATATAACCCAAAAAAAAACCTCTATTATGGATATTATTGGTCGCGAAAGCCTACGTGTTAACAAAATTACAACAGTTTACACACGTAGCAGCAGGCTTTTGCGACCAATATTATGCATAATAAAGGTTTTCGGGTTGGATCGCGTAAGTATAAAGTGTCGTAAACCTCCACCACCCGACACAGCCAGTAAGGGTTGTCACGTAAACAGCGCGCCATTTAGTTACTAAATCAGCTCACCGGTGTGTTGGAGAGAATTTGGACTTACTTAACTGGCTTTGCCGGGTAGTGGAGGGTTTGACACATTTATACTAACCCAAAAAGCTTTATTAGAAAAGTTACAACTGCTTTATTTTTGTAAGATGCAGTGCTGCGCCTATGCAAGGTTTAAAAATTCCAACCACTCACACTCTTTTAGATTGAAAGCTTTCGTGACTGCAGGGATTCATCTTCTTGGTTCTATAAAATAATAAAAATAAAACATTATTTTATTACTTCCCTTCTACGTGACTTTACCGAAAGAACCAAGAAGATCACTCCCACTCTCTCCAAAACCTCCACCTTTTGCTGAGCCTAGCTCCAAAAACCAACACCAACCAACCAACACCACCACCACCATCGTCCCGTAATCCCCTGCTCACAGAAAGAGCGTGCGATACCAGGCGAAGGCAAACCCCGGCAGCCGCAAGTGTGGGTGTCTTTATCTCTCGGCCGAATTTTTACCCCCCTGCCTGCCCTCTCCCCCTCTCAGCACTGAAATATCCACCGCAAAACCAGAGACCAACATCGCCACCCCCACCCCCCTCTGAGCCCCCCCCCCTCCTCCTGGGCTTTTTTGTTGTTGCTGCTACTGGTGCTGTTGTTGCCCTTTCAGTTGAATGTTGAAAATAGAAAAAAAAAGTTTTTTTTTTTGGCTCGATTGCGCTTTGAGTCAGCGACTGTTGTTGTTGTTGCTGCTGCTGTTGCTGTTGTTGCTGTTGCTGTTGTTGTTGTTGCTGCTGCTATGTGCGTTGAACTTCGTACGCACCGTACGTACGTGGCCAACTGTGCCAATCGGAGGGTGTCTTTCTTAATCGAGATTCGTAAACGTTGCGGTTAGTTTTAACGGCAGGGTCGGTAAACACAACGTCTGGGTGAAAGGTGGGCCTAGGTTTTGGCCAATCTTGCCCATCGAACTCAACAAAGTTAAGTTAACATTTTTGAAATCGATTAGTCGTACAGCACCACGCGCTTCGTTAACAAATTGATAATTTCCTGCAATTTGTTCATGGACCCTCACCCCACACAGTGTTTACGAAGAGCTCTATAGCCACTACCACTGGGCACACGGTGGGAGGGGGTGGAGGGGTGGGCGTTCGGTGAGCAATGAACGTGAAGGTGAGCAGATGCTGGCTCAGAGGATTCATGATGGACGTGTGAGCGAGGCAATACTCTGGTGGCCACGGAGATCCAGTGAAGATTCTCCAGAATCCGGCGAAATTTTGAGATTGTGATCTGGGGTATGGAGACCTAACGGATTTATTTATTTTAATTTATTTTCTCTGCGATTATTTTTTCTTACGTGCAATTTTTTTCTCGTTATTATTCATTTTAAATTTTGCTTAGCAGCGGGTTTTTAATATGGAACCTTTATTGGCAGTATTAAAATATAACAATAGGTTTTACCCTTGCTGGCAATAACACAGGTGCCAAGATGTTAAAACACCATGCTCTGAAAATATATGACAATGCATATATTATCACAGCATGTTTTTCGTTTGCATGTTCACCACAAGCACATGTGGTTAATGCAGACAGGATTCACTGAATAAGGATTCTGTCTGGTGTTTAAACATTTTGATACAACTGTTTTATTGCCAGAAAGGGTACAACCTATTGTTATGTTATAACGGAATTTTTTATTTTTTAATATGGAACCGGATAATTGATGTGCAGCGCTGTGGGATGCAATTGCATGAATGACTTTCGATTTAAAGCTTTCGTGACTGCAGGGATTCATCTTCTTGGTTCTTTCGGTAAAGTCACGTAGAAGGGAAATAATAAAATAATACAATTTTACCCGTAAAAACAAAGTTTTTCACTATAAATCCTTTATATGCGTGGCGGCTAGAGTCCTCTCGTCCTCTGGCTTGAGATGGCTGCCACCTATGGGTCAGATGATTGTCTGCCAGCATTAAGCAATTGGTAATTAAATATTTTATAAAAATTCCCTAAACAGTGTAAAATTTTGGAGAACATTTTTCACGAAAATTAATTGTCTCGCACAACGAGTCTGTGTGGAAAATGTCAGCCCGATTGGATCACGGGAAGTGGGTTAAAAAACGACCGAAAGATTTGCACGGTCGTAAGCAAGCAAACAAGCGAACTTAATATAAAGGATTTAAAAAGAATACATAATAAAATACAATTATTATGTGTTAATGTTTAAATTTTATTATTTCCCTTCTACGTGACATTACCGAAAGAACCAAGAAGATGCGTGAATGCCACTATATAAAATTCAATTATTATTTTCATTCGGTATTTCAGTGACCACAATGGGTTTAAGTGACCCCTTTACTGGTGGCCACTCATTTCATCGGAATAAAAAAAACAATCGACTCAAGGGTGGCCGATTGGCTGAGAGGTCAGAGTTGCTAAGCCGGTCTCTGAGATGATGGTCCCAGCTTAGGCCACCAATGACTTCACAACAACAACAACCACCCCACTGAAATGTATTTTGCACTTTATTTGCATCAATTCCAGTACCGAGAATGAAAACTGTTGGTTTCTGCTCACGTGACATTTCCCTGTGCAGCAGGGCATGTGGGTAAGTGCTGCCCCCTAGTGTGTATACAAGTGGCCATGTGTGATCTCAGAAGCAGTTCTGTGAGATCTCCTTCCACGGACCGTTCTGCGAGCGGTTCGAATAATGGGCTCTCCGTCTTGTGACACGACGCGGATGAGTAGAAGCCGGTGAAAACCAGAAGTGGAAGAACAATATTCGACTCTTGAATTGAATCGCGACAATTCATCGAGTGTGGTTAGGCGTCATCATCCCCATTCCGGAATCGGCCTTTTACATCCACCATCGGGAACGTAAAACCAAACTGGTCTCTCATATTGCTAGAACACACAGAGGAGCAAATCCCATCGTCTGCTGCTGCTGGCGGATGGATTCCGTCGACACACTCACTGCACCCTCCGCTTGTGTACGTACGGTGCGAAAGAAGTTCAACATAAATAGACTCATAGTCACTCACCCACTCACAGTCACTCACCCACACACTCACCCACTCACTCACCTCACCGAACCCTCCGATGAGCACGCTTGGGTACGTACGGTGCGAAATAGGTTCAACATAAATAGACTCATAGTCACTCACCCACTCACAGTCACTCACCCACACACTCACCGCACCTTCCGGTTAGCACGGTTGACTACGTACGGTGCGAAAGAAGTTAAACATACATAGACTCATAGTCACTCACCCACTCAGTCACTCACCCACACACTCACCGCACCTTCCGATAGCACGGTTGGCTACGTACGATGCGAATGAAGTTCAATATACCTACGCACAAAGCACACGCAGCTGCCGCTGATCCACACAGCCCGCAAATAGTTCACACTTCTCCGTAGCGGTACTCTTGTTCATTCCAGTTTTATTTAAACGTTTTTATTTATTTAAAAAAAACCCGAAGACATTATTCGGTTTTGTCGGCTTTGCCGATCTCCCCCCTTAACCTCCCGATCAGCTTGCCTTCCCCCCCCACCGCCCCCCTCCCGTCCCCCTCGTTAATTGCCGTCGCAATTCTATTTACAATCGGCGAAGAACTCGTTAGCAAATGCTTAAGACGCCAACTAAGAACAACGGCAGATGCGATAAAGACAGCAGCAGCAGCAATAGTAATCACGACAACAATAATAATATATACAGTGACAAGAATGTCGACGGAATTGTCGGCACGAATTATTAACCATTGAAGTAAACGCGTTTTTTTTTTTATCATCAAACCCCGCCAAATGCTGCCTGGGGTTACGTTCTGGGGAGGCAAGTCGGGGCCTACAAGTGTCGGTGCCAACGGCGGAATGGTGCGACGTGATTTTAATCACCTTCCCAGCCGCGGCAAACGTCGACGTGGAGAGAGGGGTCATTCGAGCCGGTGTGTGGTTAATGCCACAGCGACCCAGCCATCTCTACAAAATGATTTAATTTGTACATGCATTCACCAAACACCTAGTTGCTTGCGGGAGAGTCA